GTTTGAAAAAACAAATATACGCGATTTAAATCCGGAAAAATAGTTTCATTTCCTATATATACCTACATATTAAAAAAACAGTCGAATTGAACTAGACATCCTCCTTTTTTAAGTCAGTTCAAAACAACAATTTACAATTATTTTGATTCCTCTTATTTATTTTTAAAACTATTTTTTCGTGTATAACAAAACTTTGAGTACACAGATCGGAAGAGACGGGAATGTATTCCAATGACATCGACAACATTTTGTAAAATTTTTATAGTATAGAATTGTACATACTGTCAAAATTGTTGGATAGTTTGAAATTCTTAATCGCATAGGTCTTAATGGGGCGCAATACGAAATAGCTAATTTAATAAATAAAACGTTCAACAATTACTACCAGCCCATTAGAAGAGTATATGACATGTTTTTCTTTCTGTATGTGCAGGTAAATTCGGTCAAGCGCTACCATATCGGTGGCTAAGTTAATTTCACTGTGTATGATAAACAGTGCAGTAAGGTCAACGGGGTCATGGGGTCTAGCAAACAGTCGACAATTCGCTTTCACAGCGTGCATGTGTTTGCCCGATCGCGATGCTTGCTTGCGCCACGGTACGTCGTCGGTAAAATAACGAAATTTGATAAACTTATACTTTGCCTGCCGACCTCGATATTTGTTGAAGCGGCTTCAAGTTGTTTCCACACGATCATTTAATTTTATTTGTTATCGATAGTTAGTTATCGATGCTAAAGACTGTTTAACTGAGAAATCCGTGATATTGGAGCTAATGTTTTTTTTAATGCGTGGATTATTCTTATCATTGGATAATATTTGGCCTACTGTACTCTGTACTTAAAGCCAATCGCTGGTGCGACCTTGACTACTTTTGTTCATCATGAGGTTCCTCATTGGAATTCCTCCTGGTGTTCTATAAGTTTGTGATCTTGGTGGTTTTGTGATTAATGTTTTATTAACACTTCGTACCACAGACAAACGCGCGGCACATTTATTGCATTCGGCAGTGGTGTAACATTTTCGCACAAAACCATTTGTAACTTTTATAAAAAATATTACTGAAATGCATAGTGTGAAAATCCTCGTCAAAACGAATAATATGAGCCCAAACATTTTACTTTCATTGAAAGCGGGCGAAATTCAACTGAATTGAATTCATCCCCTATTTCGTCACCCTTAAAGGTGGTATACTTTCTTCAAATTTGAATGGGACTACTAATGAGGTACTTGAAAGAAAACACTCACGCCCGAGAAGTAATTATTAAATATTTTATTCAAAAATCTTATACATTTTATATTGGTTCCACATTTTGAAAATGATAGGAGTCAAAGTATTTCCTTTTTTTACCCGACTCCACATACACGCAGGTATTCTCAAATGAGGTTTCATTACCTCTAACACCCCCTCTTAATGAAAACTTAATTAATAAATGTAAGGGGGGGGGAACCTCTTACTTATAAACAAAACCAAAACTGAACTCAACACAGCCCTAGCATTATTCTAAATTTTTCAAAAAGCATTCTGTCAAGAGGTTTTGTAAAGATATCGGCTAACTGTTCCTTGCTATCAATGTACCTCAAAACGACAGCTCCTTTATGTACTTGTTCTCGGATATAATTGTGCCTAATATCTATGTGCTTAAGACGCTTTGAATCTAAACTCTCAGCTATTTTAATTGCACCCTGATTATCCTCGTACAAAATTGTGCTAGGCATTTTATCATACAAGAATGTATCTTCTAACATTTTACATAACCACGCAGCTTGAGTACAAGCTTGACTGAGTGCCATGTACTCAGCCTCAGTAGACGATAAAGCTACACACTGTTGCTTTTTAGAAAGCCAGCTTACAGTACACCCAAAAACTTTAAATACGTAACCAGTTGTAGACTTACGGTCTAGCAGGTCACCTGCCCAATCTGAATCTACATAACCTTCAATAAAAGAATCAGAATATTTTTTATGAAATATTAACCCTAACTCCATAGTTCCTTTTAAATAACGTAAAACTCTTTTAATAGCTGTCCATAATTCTTCAGAAGCGCAAGATTGGTAACGACTCAGTATTGACATACTATTAGCTAAATCTGGTCTCGTGGCTAACATACAATACATAATTGCACCGATAGCTTTTCTACATTTAATTTCGATGGCTTCGTTTTCAGACATATGTAATTTCAGTAAACTGTGTTTTACACTTTGGTCCATCGGTGTGGACACCGGCTTACACTCATGCATGTTAAATTTCCGTAATAATCCTGCGATATATTCTGTTTGGCTTAAAACTGTATGGTCACCGTTCTGTAACACATTTATGCCAAGATAGCACTTAGCAATACCTAGATCTTTAACTTTAAAACATTTCTGTAAATAGTTCTTTATATTGAGCAATTCATTATTGTCTGTCGACATAATTAGGAAATCATCGACGTACACCAGGAAATAAGTTTTAATACTGTTACTCACTTTATAATAAAAACAATAATCATTTTTACTGGCTGTAAAACCATATTTTCTTAAAGTGTCATCTAATGTGTCATACCAATACTTAGGCGACTTTTTAAGACCGTACAGAGCTCGATTTAATTTACATACTTTATCACTTTCTATATTAAAATTCACAGGCAAACTCACATACACAAGTTCATTTATCTTACCATTAAGGAAAGCCGTACAGACGTCCATTTGATGCTGTTTAATTCCCAATTTCACACTTATTGCAACAAACATTCTGAAAGTTGTGAGCTGTGCGACCGGCGAGTAAACCTCGGATGCCGATACAAATTCTTTTTGTTTGAAACCACGAGCTACTAAACGCGCCTTAAAAAACTTATTTCCGTCTTCGCCTTTCTTTATTTTAAAAAGCCATTTGGTATCAACTGGCTTGCAATCAGCCGGCTTGGGAACAACAGTCCACGTGTTATTCTCCGCAAGGGATGATATTTCCTTCTCCATTGCATCAATCCACTTATCAGCTTCATTGCCGTTAATTGCTTCTTCATAAGACTTAGGTTCAAATACTTCGGCAAAATGAAGTACACTATACATTTCTGAGTCTTCATATCTTTGTGGTGGTCGAATCTTACTACGATCTCTCAATCTCCTTTGTTCGCTTTGTTGACTTTGCTCGATATCAATTGTTTCTACAGATTCTTCGTTGGTAACTGTTTCGAGTTGACTATTATTTATTCTTGTTTCCATCCTTTCAACCTCTACTTTTTTTCCATTTTCCTCAATTTCACAATTATTACTATCAGTAGAGTCAATTACGCGTGAACTCGGCCGTTCCGTCTTTGTTTCTTCGATATCTGTATTTGACAGCAAAATTATATCCCTGGTCAAAATAACATCGTCTTTTTCAGGAACATAAACACGATATCCTTTTACATTTTCTTCATATCCCACAAATATTCCAATCGCGTTCTTATCGTCCCACTTCTTACGAATTTCCTTCGGAATGTGAAAAGAAACACGATTGCCAAAAACTTGAAAAGTATTAAAATCAACTGATTTGTTTGTCCAAAGTTCAAACGGTGTTTTTTTCTTTACGGGACTTGGGCCAGTTCTATTTAGTACATAAATGGCTGTATTCACAGCTTCTGCCCAAAATCTCTTGGTCATTGACTTTGCTTTCAACATTGTTCTGGCAGCTTCTACAATTGTGCGCATTTCCCGTTCAGCCCTACCGTTTTGTTGAGGCGTGTACCTTATAGAGTTTTGATGTACGATTCCATATTTATTCAACATTTTACATACCTCATTGTTGACAAATTCTGTTCCGTTATCCGTCCTTAATATTTTTAATTTGTATCCAGTCTGTTTTTCTACTAGAGCAATAAAATTGTCAATGCAGTTTTTAACTTCGTACTTGTTTTTGATGAAATATACTTTTCTGAAATTACTGTAATCATCTTTGAACAGAAGAAAATATTTAGAACCACCAATAGATGAAACTTCCATAGGACCGCAGAGGTCGGCATGTACTAACTCACACGGAGAATTTGCACGATTTTCACTACGTATAAAGATATCTCTATGTTGTTTACCAGCACAGCAACTTTCACAAACAGCAATTGAAATATTTTTGTAAATTACACCGTGCTCTGACAGTACATTTTTGATTTGTGTCAAATTTTGATGTGCTAGTCTGTCATGCCAGTCAATCAAATCAAGAACAACATTACTTGAAGGAGGTTGGTTATACAAACGAAAAATCATTTTAAACAGATTTCCATTTCGCTCAGCAATAGCCTTAACAGACCCTTCAGAATCTATTATTTTACACAATTTACTATCAATAATTGTACTGTACCCTTTATCTACAGCTCTACTTACTGAGAATAAGTTTACCTTTAAATCCGGCACATACAAAACATTTGATATAGTGGTTTCTATCCACTGGTTACCATTGTAAGCTTCTAACCTAATACACCCAATACCTTTTATCGACAGCATTGATCCGTCGCCTATTTTAACAGTTTTATTCTTTTCTGTAGTTAATTCAATGAACATGTCCTTGTCTTTACACATATGTTCTGATGCTCCAGAGTCCATAAACCACTCAACTAGGTTGTTATCCGTTGTTCCAACAAATGCGTTAGCTGCTTGACAGTTATATGTGCATCCGTGTTCTTTGTCACGACCTCGGTTGCCTCCTCTATTTGCAAACTTGTGTAAGTTGAATCTACATTCATTCGCAAAGTGGCCAAACTTTCCACAATAATGGCATTTTATGCCCGCTTTGCAATACCTTGTTTCATGACCGGATCGGTTGCATTTTTGGCAAGTAACGGAAACTCTATATTTACGTGATTGCAAAGGATGAGATCGCATTGCTAACGCTTGCATTGGCACGTTTTCTTTTAATCTGTGCTCTTCAAGCAGCAGTCTAGACGTGAGTTCATTCAAAGTTTGATATTCTCGGGGTACTGATTCCCATGCAGTGACAAAATGATTGTAGACCGCAGGTAGTGACGTTATTATTTTTGTTATCATCATAGTCTCAGATATATTTTCTTTGTTTTCTGCAAGTTTGTTACGTATTTCCTCGAGCTTTGCGACAAACATACATATACCTTCTTCTTCATATTTGATAGAGAAAAATTTCTGCTGTAGTAAATGAGTATCTATATTCGTTTTAGGCTCAAAAACAGATTTCAATTTTGTAAACATTTGGTATGCCGTTTTGCATGATAGGACCAAGTTCATAGTTCC